TCTTTTTCTTAATTACAAAACATAACACCCAAGCCAAGAGTGGTGGTTCATGCCTGTAATCCCAGTACTTGGGAGGCTGAAGCAGGAGGGTCACCATGAGTTCCAGGCTGGCCCAGACTACATACTGAATTCAAAGCCAGCATGACCTACAGACCAAAATCCTGTCACAAACAAACAAGCCAACAACAACAACCCATATGGAAGTAATCTTACCTTTTTTTCCCTGCATACAGCATTTTGTCAACATGATTATATCAATTCTGTTTCCTCTGAGAGGCATCCTTATATATGATATGAACCCAAACAGCATATGCAAATAGCTTTTTAAAGATTTTTATCAAAGTGTTATGTCAATGCCTACAGAATTTAGAATTTCTGTACAAAAATAACAAATTACTATTGCTCAAAAACAAAGATCAACTTCATGGATATTTCCCCAAAATATTTTCAGGTAAGAGAATTCTGCACTTCTGCAGAGAAAACGGAGTTGAGTTGAGTTTGATTGAGGTTTTCAATAAAAGTCAGAATTTACACTGATTGACCTTGATTCTACATAAACTGGTGGAAGCATGGGACGGCTGGGAGAGACCCAGAACTGTTGCTAAGTAGACAGCTCCAAGCAAGAGGTTTTTCAAATTTAAAAGCATGTTCGTTTCTAATATAACTATTGCTCTCTAGGATATGTACTGTGTACACTGCTGCCCTCTACTGGATGGAATAACAATTAGCCCAAATCCATTGAAATTCAAATCACTTCATGCATTCCTTTAGACCTCAACAAATATTTAATGACATCTCTGGCATCATGTTGAGCTTCACTTCAGGGTTACAGAAGTGAGGAAAACACATACCCTGTCCTCAAACAGCTCACAGAAAAATTGGGGGAAACTCCTATTAAAATCCATGATTCCAATAAAAAGTGCTAAACATTCTGATAGTAGTAAGCACGGGCAATATAAGGCTTTGAGGAAAATAGTATTTACAGTCAGCTTTAGCTTCTTAGCTAGCATGATCCTGCTTGAAAACTCATCTGGAAAAATGATTAAGGGATTCACAATTTTACCTTGGAGGTGAGCATGACTAATTTTATAATAGAAGAAGATTTCCTAATTAAGTGCAAAGACATGGAATAAAAAACATTACCATCCCACTAAGTGGGAAAAAGAATGTGTTGACAAGGTTTGATAAGCTTCCAGTCAGAGACAATATCACTTAATCAGCATACAAGCCATTACTGCACTAGTTTAGATCACCAATGTGAGGTCGAAAAGCTGGGATAGAACAACAGGTATACACATCTTCAATCTTTGTTCCTAATCTTAGTGAGGAAAACTTTGAGTATCTCATCATTAAGTTTGATGTTAGCTGCTGTTATGTAAGTATTAAAATGTTGCTGATCACAAGGACACATGCCTACAACCGCAGTTACTCAGGAGCCAGAGACAGGAAGAAGGCAAATTTGAGGCAAGACTGGGGAATTTAGCAAAACTCAGAAATTTAGCAAAACTCTGTGTCAAAATAAAAATAAATATTTTTAAACAAAAAAGATTACAATGATACAGAATTTCAAAACAAAATGAGATTAACAATGGTTAATACATTGCACATTGTTATCTTGTTATCTTCAAGGTAGTTGCCCCGCTTATAAGATATAGGCCTAAAACAATGACCAAAATTGTACGCACAAACCATTCTTTTTGATGAGCTGAGATTAGTAGCATGATTATTTATCTTGTATATGCGTTTGTGTATTTGTGTGTGTATCTATCTATCTATCTATATAATTTTCCCTTCTTTCCTTCCTCCTTTCCCCTATCCCAGGTTGGTCTTTCCTTTTGAGCAGTTTCATCACCCTTTCATGTCCACAGTATCTATTGTATATTTTGGATCTTATTTACTCAAGTTTTTTATGCTAGAAAGATAACACCACATTTACACTTGTGAGTCTGATTTATTTCACTTATGAGTATGGTCTCAATTGGCATCCAATACTTATGAAAGCCCTGAGTTTATCCTTCTTTAAGCTGAGTAGTAATCCATTGATAAAAATACCACATCTTTTTTTTACCCATTCCACAGTTCATGGGCATCTGGGTTATTTCCAAGACTTTAGGTATTATCAACTGTGCTGCTATAAACATGGGTGTACATGTATCACTGTGGTATAATGTTTTTACTTCTTCTGGGAAAATATCAAGAAAGGGAATAGCTGGACTGAATGTGACATCCAAACCTAGTTTTTTGAAGAATCTTCACACTGATTTCCACTGTGGTTATACCAGTCTACACTCCCTACAACGTAGAGAAGCCTTCCTTTTCCACTACAGCCTCACTAGCATTTTTTACTGGTGGATTTCTTGATAATAACCAGTCTTTCTGAGGTGACATGGAGTCTCATGCTCTAATTTGCATTTCTTGAATGACCAGTGATGTTGAACATTTCTTCATATATTTATTTGCCATTTGTATTTCTTCATCTGAGAAGTGTGCATTCATCTCAGGTACCTACTTCAAATTTGAGGGGCTGATTTTTTTCAGTCCTTATATGTTCTAGATAGAAGTCCTTTGTCTGATGGACAGCTGTTTATAATTTTTCCTAACTTGTGGGTTTTCTTTTTATTCTGTTGGTGATTTCTTTTGATGTGCAAAAACTTGTAAGTAAGATGAGATCTCAGCTGTTAATTCTTTGAAGTAAATCCCACAGTTTGGGTTTTGTTCATGAACTCTATGCCTACTTCTTTGTCTTCAAGATTTCTACCTACCTTATCTCCAGTAGATTTAGTGTTTCTCTTTTAGTATTTAGATCTTTGATCTATTTTGACTTTACTTTAGTGCATGGTGATAGATATGCGTCTTTAGTCTTTGGCATATGGAAAGCCAATTTTTCTAACACCATTTATTTTTCCAGTAAACATGTTTGGCCCCTGTGTCAAAGATGAGGGGGCTGAAGGGTTTTTGTAGTTATGTCTGTGTCTCTTAATCTGTTCCACTGATCTTCAGGTCTGTTTTTTTCCAGCACCATGCTGATTTTATCACAGGGCTTTCTAGCATAATTTCAAGTCTGGGATTGTGATGTCTCCCACCTTGCCTTTGCTGTCCCAGGCTGACTTTGCTATTCCAGGTCTCTTCTGTTTCCAAATGAATTTCAAGAATGTTTTCTCTACGTATGTGAGGTACATTAATACTATTTTGACTTGGATTGCATTAAATCTCTATAACAGTTTGGGAGTGTGGCCATTTTCACAATGTTGGTTCTTCCTATTCATAAGCAAGGGATCTTTTTCCATTTTCTGTTATTCTCTTCCATCTCCTTTTTTGGAGTGCTGTAATGAAAATATATAGAGATTTTACATTCTTTGTTAGATTGACTGCTAAACATTTCATTTCTTGGATGGTATTATGAAAGGTGTTGCTTCCCTAATTTCTAAGTTTGTTGTTGGTGTACAGAGATACTATCAATTTGGGGGTGTTGAATTTTTATCCAGCTATGCTGCTAAATTTCATTAACTCTAAAAGTCTTTTTGTGGTGTTTCTGAGGTCTTCTATATGGACTATCATGTCATCTGCAAATAATGATAATTTAACTTCCTTTCTTATCCCTATTCTTTTTATTTCTCTCTCTTGTCTAACTGCTCTGGCTGACGTTTCCAGAACTATATTAAATAGGAATGGTGATAGTGGACATCCTTGTCTTATTCTTGATTTTAAAGTGAAAGTGTTCAGTTTTATCAGTTTACTATGATGTTGGCGTTGTCATAAATGGCTTTTATCAGATTGAGGCAGAGACCATCTATTCCAATTTTCTCTAGGGTTTTTATCATGAATGAACGTTGAACTTTATCAAAATCTTTTTCTGCATAGTTTGTTCAGAAAAAATTTTTTCCAGTTTCCTTGTAGCACTCAACATCGACTCCTTTTATTCGCAGTAGTTTCTGATTTTCACAACGGATACAATCCCAGTCGCCCTAGTGCATGCCTGAAACTGTAGATCATCCTGAAGCCTACATATACTATTTTTCCTACATATATGAACATACCTAAGATAGTTTAACTTATAAATTAGTAAGAGAGTAATATCCAATGATAATAAAATTGGGCAATTAAAATATATTGTAATAAAGTTATGTGAACGTGGTCTCTCAAAATACAATACTCACCCCTCGTTTTATTGTGAAATGATGGTACCACCCCCCGCCCCCGCCCCCGCCCCTGCCCCCGCACCGCCAGGAACTGGAACGAATGACGCAGGCATTGTGATTCACTGCCAACCCGCAATCCACGTTCATGCAGCCTCTGGGTCACGTGATCCTCCCACTGCGCACGCGCAGTTTCCCTGGCCCCGCCCCCTGCACGTGTCCTGTGCTTCCTTCCGAAGCTTCGAGAGACTGTGGCCCCAGGCCAGTCACGGCTGAGGACTGGATCCTGAAGCGCTGATGGGACTGAAAAAGCCACAGGAAGTGTGCTGAAGGGCACAAGAGGATAGAGTACGGGTTTTAGACCCTAGCGAGGCTTCTGGTAAGTGGAGGGAAGAATGACTATTAAGATTGGCTCGGGGAAGGGAGGAGGTTCTAGCCTCCAACGGGGCGCAGAGCCGGCGAGGCAGCCCCGACCCCCAGGCAAGGCCTTTGCCCGGGGCCAGGCCGCACTCACACCAGCTCCTCCACCCTTTTTTTGTTGGTGGTGGTGGTTTGTTTTTTTTTTTTGTTTTGTTTTGTTTTTAATTCTGAGGGGTTTGGAGGATTGAACCCGCGGCCTTCGCCCTGAGCTATAGCCGCAGCCCTATTTTATTTTTTGAGACAGGATCTCACTCAATTGCCCCGTTGAGTTCGAGCGTGCGATCCTCCTGCCTCAGCCTCCTAGAGCTGTGGGGATGGCAGCGCGAGCCCCTCCAGCAGACCTTTCCGGTTGCCCAGGGCAGCCGCGCGTGCTGCGAACCTGGGCGCTCGGCTCCGCCCCGCCCCGCGCTCCGGTGGGCGGTGGGGTGGGCGGGGCGCCGCGGACGGGCTGTCCGCTGGGGCCCGGACCGGGTCTGCGGTTCTCCCTCGGCTGGGGGCGGAAGCGGGGGAGCCGCGGAGCTGCGCGCGCTCGGACGATGCCCTCCGGCGCTGGCCGCCCGCTGCCCCGCCGTCTTCGCAGCCCTCGCTGGCAGACGCCGCGGAGCCCAGGTAGGTGCGCGCGCGTGGGTGGCGCCGCGCTAGAGGATGGGGCAGCCGCGTGTCCCGCCGCTGTGGCCGTTGTAAAGGGCTGAGCGGTGGCCTGGAGGATCGGCTGCGCTCTGGTCCGGGTTCCGCGCTTACAGCTGAGTGCGGAAACCTGTGATGCTGAAGTAGTGTTGGTGGAGTCCGGGCACCGCAGGTAGTTTAGTCTGAGCGACTTCCTCAGCCCATCCCAACCTGGGTTTTTAAGGCTGTCTTCTTCCTTCCCGTCTGATAGTTGAGTTTCCTTTGGAACGCTCGATTTTGGAACGCTCGTGCCTGTATGGTTGTATGAGGGGAAATGTTTAATAATGACGTTGTGGAAAGTAGAAAGGTTGAGATTTCTGGTTTAAAAAACTCTAAGTACATTGTGAACACTGCAGTGCATTGTTTATTTTGGGGAGTGACATGATAGACTGCTTCAAAGTATAGTCGTGGCGCTACAGAATTATAATTTGCTATTTGAATTTTTAGATGACCTTGACAGCTGTGTGTGGTGTGTAGAGGGACACAATCGATAGAAACTTTAAAGGAAATGTTGAATTCACATTTAGAAAAGTTACTTTTATTAATTGGTTCTCGAAAAAAAGGTTTTTGGCGTCACTCAGTATATGTAATTGCTGCTTGGAAAGGGCCCACTTTTAACAGTTGTTTAAGGGAAATAGAGGCATGCAATCCATACTGACTTACAGGTTCAGTGCTTTGTTATTGTTCGCTTTCTTAAAAGCCCTTGATTTAAAAAAAAAAAATCAAAATCCGTTTTTATGTTACTGCCCAGATGTTTTAAAACTTTGAACGTGACCTGGTCGTAAAAATGTCAAGTGTCTTAAGAACCTTGAGTAGCCATACATATTTTTATTGTCGAAAATAAAAGAATAGAACTACCAAAAAATAAGAAAGTCACTCTAGAAATATTATGGACCAATAGGAAAGTGAGTATGATAACTTATATTTATACTTTTTGAATTTATATATCGAGGTGTGGGGCATTGAATTCAAACCTTTACATTGAGCCGCATCCCTATCATCTGTTTTGCTATTTTTGAAATGAGGCCTGAGTCACTAAATTGCCCTGACTGGCTTCAGCCTTGATGATCTCCTTGCCTCTGCCCCCCAGGATACTGAGATTGTGAGCGTGTCATCATTCCCACCTAGTTCTTACACTTTTTGAAATATTCCTTTCCTGCTAGTCGTCAGTGATAATTTCAATATCAGTATATGTCTCATTGTATTTTAGTAGTTTAATACATTGAAAGGCTTTTACAATCAGTAAAACATAGTTACTTTGACTGAACTTAAAGAGACCTTGGTGCTTGGGGAGTTGCTTAATGTTAGATCACTTACCTAGCATGGCAAAGGCCCATGGTTTTGATCACCAGCACTGATGAAAAGAAAAGCAACCAATTTTCTATGGTTTTTTGTGGTCCTGGTGATCAAACATATATCTCCTTTACATTAAACTATACTTCTAGCCTTTTTTTGAGACAGGATTTTGGAAAGTTTAGAAGGGTGGCGTCTGTAATTGCCATCCTGTTGCCTCAGGCTCCTCTGGCTGGTGTTTCAGGCAGGCACCACCACCCTGCGTTCAGTGTTTTCTCTCAGTACACCAGCTATTTTACTTGGGCACTTTAAAACTATGAAGTTGTTTCATTGTGCTAAAGGATAACAAACTGTATCTGGATTGCAAAGTATTTAAATTAGGGAAAATACCATTTTCACAATACTCAAAGGTTACTTTTAAAAATTACTATGTTTGGTACACTAGTCTGCTTTTGCTGTGTTCTGTTTTCCCTCGTCATTGCAGAATATCCTTGCTTCTTGAAAGATGATTTAGGACATTTGAAGTGCCCACATACTCTAGTAGGTGTGAGGAAATCTGATTAACTTTCCAATTCCTGAATATATTGTGTAGTTGAGTTTAGTTTTCCTCTAAATCTGTATTGCATCGAAGGTGACAAATAACCTCATTCATATTTTGGTACTCGTCTTTACTCTTAAGGATTGTTTGGTGGTTCAGCAAATATTTCCAGAACACGTTTGTTTTTGATTTTAGTTTTTTTGAAGGGGGAGTTGGGTTGGTTTTTTGTTTTGTTTTTCTTTTGTTTTTTTGAGACAGGGACTATCTATGCAGTTTAGGCTGGCCTTGAGCTCACTTGGCAGCCCAGAGTGGTCTCAAAACTTGCAGCAGTGCTCCTCCTGCTTCACCTTCTCAACTGCTGGGATTACAGGCATATGCCAACACACCCAGTTTGAGAACACTGTTGTTTCATTCAGTGGTTTGATGTGTTTGAAAAGTGCTGTCTCCTCAATCCGGTAGTGGAAGTCTGTAATCCTAGCATTTTGGTAGGTAGGCTAAGACAAGAGTTTAGCAAAATCAAGTTCAGCTTGGACAGTTTATCAAGACTGTCTCAAAATAAAAAGGGTGCTGTAACTGTAGCTTTAATGCAAAGGCCCTGGTTCAAACCTCAGTGCTGACAGGGAAGGTTTTGGTGGTTGATACAAGGCAGTCATGCAAACCTTTTAGAACTTTCAGTAATAACAACCCACTGTGGCACACATGCCTTCAGTTCACCACCAGTGTTTTAGGGTGATTTGGTGTTGCTTTAAAATACTCCCAGTTGTAGGGACAGGGGATTTAGTTCCATGGCATAGCACCTATGTGGCAAGCTTGAATCCTCAGTTTGATTCCCAGTACCCCCCCCCCAAAAAAACCTTTCAGTTTTATAAAGTTCAATAATAGAGTAAGTCAGAAATTAACTTTTCAGAAATAACTATTTTTCAAGGTGAGATAAAGTTGCACAGTAAGCAAAGTTCACAAAATTTTAAACACATCTGAGTAACTCTGATGATTCCTTTAATGAGCAACATTGCTTGTTAAAGGTAGTCTCTATGGTGATAATTCTATATCCTTAGAATATATAATCTACATAATACAAAGCTTTGTAATTACTGCCCTTTGATACTAATAATAGCTGTTCATGAAAGGTTTGTCTTTAACAAGTGTGACTGTGAATATATTGGGCAATTAAATTTTTATTTAATCCTAATTTTCATTGTAGATAGCATTGTTAGTGCCTAGAAGACCCTAGATATAAAAACATTTTAAGGTTTTTCTGAGAAGTTTAGCTTAACTATAACTAAACTTGAAGATTTTAGAGGACAGTAATCTAATAGAGAACAACCACTGATTTGAATGTCTAATTTGTCAGGATACAAATCTAAAACTATATACATACATGTTTTTACATGCCTGTAAAGGGGAAAGTGCTTTCTTCTTGTCAATGAAATAAAAGTTTATATTTCTTACACTTTTATAAGCATAAGCTTGTTAGCACTGGTACATTTCCAAATTGAACAGCAAGTTTGTAAAGTCACTGTGAATGAGAGACTATAAGTAAATAGCTTTTTTATGCTAAATAGGTAGAAACCATTGTTATGCTGCAGTCTAGAGGATTAATACACATGGACTTACATGACTAATTGTGTAGGGCTTTAGGAATTCAGTGGGATACTTTTCCTCACCCATCGTAAGAGTCATGGTCTACACTCCTAAAAGGTAAGAGACAAGCCAGACATGGGTGGCACAGGCCTGTGAACCCGGCACTTGGGAGGCTGAGGTAGGAGGGTCTCTTGTGACTTTGAGGTCGGCTTGAACTGTACAGTAAGACTCTGTCTCAAAAAAAAAAAAAAAAAAAAAAAAAAAAACCTAAATAAAAGACAAATGTAATGCTTTTATTTGATCAAAGATGTTTGGGGAAAACTATGTTTAGGTTGAGTGAAGAATAGATAGCTACATAGAAGCTACATACATAATTAGACAAAGGGTATTGTATAATGCTAATAGACTGAGGGAAAAAAAAACCCCAGCAAGATTGTGTTAAGAATCTTCTTGACCTTTCTGTGTAGCTTTGCTTTCTCCCAAGTATGAAACAGGACCTCCCCAGAATGAGGGTCTACAAAAGTGAGAGTAAAGAGTGATCATTCCAGGTTTCATGACTTGCTCTGCTATTAAGGCATTCTAGTTTCTATGACCCACTTTGGGGAAGAAGAACTGGATTCTGTGACTTGCTTTGAGGAAGAAAGAAAAGTGGGAGACAAAGGCTGAAAAATATCAGAAAGAGTCTGCTTCTAAGGCCTTCCAATCGCCTTAATTTCAAAGTACTTAGCATGCCAAAGTGCCATACTTTGAGATACTGTTTTCGGAGCTCCAATACTTGAAAGGTCTCTAATTATGAATTATAGATTTGGGGGATTTTTGTTGGGGAAAAATTATGTCTTTGGACTTTCTAGAAGGTATGACACTGCTCCCCTTGACCACCAAAACAATCTTAGGAACAATAAAATTAAGAGGTGTTTTTTTAAAGGAACATGTTCTAGTTTCAAAAGCAAAAACTAGATAGTATCAGAACTAGAAGACAAACCTAGGCATTTTACTTGTCAGTTTTTTGCTGCTTCTATTACTCCACATTTACGGCATCTACAAGCCGTTTTTTGAGAGGGCAGCCGCCTTCTGTGGCTGTAAAGTGAGGCCTTGTGAAGAGAATCATTTCAAGCTCATACTCATTTTTAATATAAGATCTAAAGAATACTGAGCAAAAAAGAATTATCTGTGGGAAGAAATATTGGCAAATAGCCCCTCCATGCATAGAGATTAAAATATAACTATAATTTTGTGTCATTAATAAAGCAAATCATAAAGGAAAAAAGCTTTTATAAAAAAATCAAATTCTTTGCATACATAATTACATAGGTTAGGGAAATACAAAAACTCTGAGCTTAGGATAATTTTATACTTCTATATTTCCTTTAATGTATACTTAGTATACTTTATTTTAAACTTTATAGTTTGTATACATGATGAGCAGTGAGTTATATATGAAGTCACATTTGGCCAAAGAATAGGAAACAACCTAACTCAACACCAAAAGAATAGTTTAGAGAAAAAGTTCCTCAAATCAACTTCTAGAAAA